TTTTTTTTAATACATGAGGAATTTTTTTTTATCTAAAAGAGGAGGTATAATGGGTAGATCCTAATCAGATACAATATGAGAAGCCTCGATTAGATGCAATTTCCATGTAATAAAGCCAATAAAAAACCCACTTAAAGACACCAATACCATTATCGTGAACAATGAGGCAATTTCTCCTGCCGTATTTTAAGTGTGTGGCTGTAACTTCAGAGTAATTTTCTTCAACAACATGCATATATCCAGGACTGTTTGGGATTACGTTGTTTACCATACTGTAAGATCAATTCTAAATGTATGCACTGAAGTCTGAATAATTTATTTTCTAGTCCATTAGACCAATTTGGAGGATCTAATTCTGTAGGCAGCTTTTCTGCCAAGAGAGCAAGTGCACGAGTGTCTCTGTGTCTCTTGGGAAGGACAGATTGAATCTATGCTTTTAGAGTGAGCCACCCACTTTACTGCTTAACTCTGCTGTCGAAATGCTTATGAGCAATTTGGCTTGAGCGGCATAAGCTGCTCCTTTCACAGCCAATTGCAAAGTCCAGGACTTGCAAAGAACCCACCGCTCGTGCCTCTGTACTCATGATTTAGCAACTCAGGCACAGACATACTAAACAGCCTGTTTGAGATTTACGCTGAGGTCTGTCCTGGAACTGACGCTTAACTCAGATCTCCAAAGTTTTAGGGCTATGACACTATCCCTTCTCTTGTCCCACTGTTTTGGCCTTAGAATAAAAGATTTCACAAAAAAATGCAACATTGCAACATCTATTGGAAAAAAAAAATGTTAGAGAAAGAGGCGTTTTGTTTCAGATTTTACCATGAGCTGCCTTGCTTGCAAAAGAGTGGATTATCATGAACAATTAGGCAAATAGTGTGTTAAACATTTCACAAGGGAATTTAAAAAATGCTGTTGTCAGTAGCCTGACATCTTTGAGGGGCTTTTTTTTTTTTTTTTTGGTAAAAGTCAACCCTTCTCTCACCACATAAAGTCAATCCAGACTCATATTTGGCTGCAAATAGATCAGGTCCAAGCTGTAGAATTCTTGATAACATTTTTGTTTTAATGTTTTCTCTTTTAACCATGACAACTTCACTGTTTGCATGGAAGCCCGCAAATTGTCAGGAGCAGCCCTGTTAATGGCTTTGGTTTATTTTGTTTCACATCTAGCCAAGTCCTGAAAGCTGTCAAGACTTATCATCTCATCACACTGCTTCTGACTGGCACAAACAAGGACTGGGGCTTTGGGATGGGGCGGGGAGAGAAAAAGTGGAGTAAAGGGAACAACATAAGTAACTAAGCAAAATTATCCATAACTTAACAGCTCCTTAGATACCAAGAGGAAGAAATCAAAACAGAGAGGCAACACTGAACCAACTACAACAGTTTTCTCTTCACTCTGATCCAGAATAAATAAATGTGATCCCTCCGATCCCTGGATCTTAGACTGGGAATTATGCTGCTGTTCAGTTCAGAATGGGGGTGGGGAGAGAGCCTTTTGAATGTTTGGTAACAGAAAATTTTCAATCGTGGGAAAGGCTCCTGTGACTGACTTAGTGGGTCTTGGTTACCTTAAGCATTTCCTTGACCAGGTGCTTGAGTGTTATTATGGTCATTGGACAGAGACTTACAGGGATGCCTCTCTCCTTGGCAGAAAGGGGACTTTAAAGAGCAGTTTAGAGTTAAGGGCGGCCTCTGTTTCCCAGGGCCTGGTGTGACAGCTTAGTGACTTTATCCAAGGACATTCTGGTGTGGGAAAAGGAACAGGGCTGAACTAAGGTGAAGCAGCACTTTGTAAAATCCAGTTTGGGACAGATGATTTAATGCTCAAAGGATCCCTTTGTGCATTTCAGGTTTGGTTAATCAACCGGAGGAAGAGCTGTGCGTTATCTCTTCAAAAATAGGAAGATAATGAGCTGCTAGAGAGACTGATGTATATTAGAGTATCTCTGAATGAAGGGCAATGTAGTGAGATACTCCTGCTGACCAACTGAGCTGAAATATTCAGCCCTCATCTGAATGGGTATAGCCACATTGGCGGCAGTTTGCGTGAACCATCTCCTCGTGTTGTGCCATTGGTGAATTCCCAGTTTCTGCAGACGAGAATGACTTTGCAGGGAGAAGACACTAGAATCAAATGTTCTAAGAGCAACGATATCTCAAGCATTGTGTATTATACATCATGAAGAATTAAATGGGTGATGGAGAAGAAGGCAAGCAGGCCTTGCCTTTACCAAACACAGCAGTGTCCTTGGCGAGACCCACCCCCATAATGCAAATTATAGTTGCAGGTGTCAGTATAACTCAGAGCAGTGTAGCAGCACGGGGAGCATGAAAGGTGGTAAAATAAGCTGCCCCTTACTGATGCTGTTGAATTGCTTCAGAACAAAGAACCGAAGATAATAGCTAAATGCATTGCAAGGTGATGCCTCTGCTGCTGCTGGGCATCTGCCTTCGTTAGGCTTAATTGGGCCGTTCGTGCAGCCTTACTGTGCCTGCAGCTCTGAGGCTGATTTTGAGGCAGAACATCCATGAGGCTGTGGAGGCAGAAGCACAATTGTGCTTTCCATCCCATTCCTCAGCTGGTTTAGTGCTATCCCTGACTATTTCAGCACTCTGACCAGTTTGGTTTTAACTTGGGTGTCAGCCACATCTCCTTCGATGCTGTTCTGTTGTCCAGTAGACCTTCAGAGTTTTATTCCCATTTTATGTAATTTATTCTTATTTTTTCCCATTTTTTTTCCTTGGGCCATGTTGATAGCTTTTGTTATATCTCTTCAGTTACCCTACATGATTTTCTGTGTTACCTTCTTTAAGTATTCTTCCTTATCCTCTCCCCTGCTTATTCTTCAGTTATTTTAGATCATGTTAAAGGTCACGGTCCATAAGTGAGCATAGAGGGGAGATATTTCCAATGTATATGGTCAGGGCATGGACTATCCCTCCATGGTGCTTGTAAAGGGTACTTTGCCAAAGGGTGAATACGGTGATAAGGAATGCCCGTATATGAAAAGGCTGCTGAATGAGATGATTTGAGTCCCTGTGTCCTGGAGTCTGCCTTCCCTCAGTGGAGACGTGCAAGTCGATGCAGCTGAGGTACATTATGGTGAGGTATAGTTTGACTCCTTAGTTCTGAACAAAACAGACTGGTTTGCAACTGGGGTGAGGAGTCCTGCCTTGAGACACAGCTGCCTTTATTGTCCCTTTTTGAGGGATAATTCAGTGGCATGCAGAGGCAGCCTTAGCAATTAGTATAAGGCATTGCTTTGGCTTTTGTGTTTCTCTTCTGTGTTTCATTTCTGAGGCTTAGCTCTGCCCCAGGATTAGCTCTGTCTTTTTCCTTCCCTGGTTCATGAGCTGACTTACGTTCATCCACTTTATGCAGACATTTAATTGATATGCTCCTAGTCTGACTTACTACTCTATGAACACCATTTCTTTCCTAGCCTTTAATTGATTTGCATAATAAAGTGCAATTATAAAACTCAATAAAAATTGGTTATTTTAAAGGAGAGCAGGAAAGAAAGAAACCTAAGTGATGCTCTGCTGTGTGACTGTAATAATGCAAAATCCCCTTTGGTTTAATTCTACTTAATTGCTCAGCTTTACTCAGATTGTTGGAATTCTGTAGGCTTTCTTGCAATTATAAGCAGCACGCTTATAAATGTTTGTGTTTTTTAAAAGTTCCTTGTGTATATAATAATTGTAAATTTTATGTTTTGGTCGTAGCTGCTGCCTGCACTGGCATTCCCCGTTCTCCTTACTCACATGCCCGGGAAGGCTCTCAAACTTTTCCTAAACCAGCCAAGTCCTCTTCTGAGGATTGAATTACCAAACCAGTGGCCACATTAGGAGTAAACATCTGTTTTGGGGTTTTTTTTAATATTATGGGAGGATTCTCCCTCCTTCTCTGGCCCCTTTGCACTCTAAATGCTGTCTTGCTTCCAAGGGAGGCTAGATTTTGGACAGGAGCTAGCTAAGAGGTGTGAGGTGTCCTACCAGGGGATGCGATGCTCTGGTAAGATTTGTTTATGGCCTGTGCCAGGGATGGGAGGCCATGTATTGGGATAGGAAGAACAGGGGATAAAAAGTGCTTCAGCCATTCTGGGCAGCTCTCTGAGGTACCTAAATAAGATATAGATTTTTTCAATCCCTTTTAGATCTAAATCTTTGGAAATTTCTCCTTTACTCAGTGTCTCCTTTTTCACTACAGAGGAAGAGAACTCATATTTGAAGTTGTGTGTTAGATTTAGGAAATCTGGGTCTCTTATTGATGAGTTCCCCCTCTATACATTTTTTCTTTCCCCTTTGTCTGTTTTCCTTACTGAAAGCGCCACAGGGAGAGATCATTTCTTATTAGGTGTGACTGCTGAGTTTACCCTAACAGAGCTGTTCCACTGCTGCCATATTGATATGGATTAATATCTGGGATTGCTTGGATATGATAACCGAGTCTCTTTGTTTCTCTTTATTTTCCCAGTTGGGAGGCTGTGGAATCCTTGGAGTAGGCATCTGGCTGGCTGTTACCCAAGGGAATTTTGCCACCCTCTCCTCTTCTTTCCCATCCCTGTCAGCTGCCAACCTGCTGATCGTCACAGGGACATTTGTCATGATCATTGGCTTCGTGGGCTGCATAGGTGCCATCAAAGAAAACAAGTGCCTCCTGCTGAGTGTGAGTATTAAGCTGCTATACCATTGCAGTGTTTGCTGTCTTGAGGTGCTGGTGCTATTCCAATGCATGTTGCAGTGTCCTGTGTTTGAACAGATGTTGCCCACTCGACATGGATGAGATGTGAGCCGTGTTTGAATCAGTCTTTGATAGCTCTAAGGAGCTGCTAGATCATTCCTGACCATGCTTTTAACCTATCCTTGGAGGATGAGACCTGCAAGAAGGGAATGGTTAGTGGTGGTATGAGTTTCCTTGAACTCTTCAGAAAAGAGGGAGAGGTTTGTGAAGACATCTTTTGCCGTGTACCCTGGAATTATTTTTCACTCAGTTTTGGTAGCTGTCTACTCCAAATGTCTACCTTGGTGGGACTGATGATCTGAAGTCCTGGCCAGAAAGATCAATGTAGGCAGGAAAAATTGTGGAGAGGTTGATTTTGGTTTAAACTGGAAATGAAGTCCTTCAGATTTGGCAATGCTAGTTTTGCCAATCATTAATTCTCAAAAGGCTGAGATGTCAGGAAGCAAAGATGCCAGCACAAGGAGACTGCTGTGAAAAAATCAAAGATTAATAAGGTGCCAGCTGTCCATGATTTAACAGAGGCTTGAGCCACATCCCTGGTGTGTTTTATCAAAATGTAATTTGATGGCACTCAAAGCTGGACTTCACGAGTAGTGAGTGCCAGCTGTAGATGGTGTTAGTGTATATTTTATGTCCCGTTCAGCTGAAGACCAGGAAGTGAGATGATCTTGCTGTTCCAAGTCCAGGATTTCACCATGAGGTTCAGCAAACCTCAGACTGAAGTGAAGCTGGGGTTTAGTTTGGTAAGCTGGTGATTCCTTTGTAAAAGGCTATTCCTCACTATGTTTCACATACTCATTTTACTCCCTTGAAAACCACAGAATGAGTCGAGGCACACAGCCTCGAAGGAAAATCCACCCTGTAAAAATCTTTCAGTGACTGTGAGATTCCAAGCCTCAGTAGAGGACTCTTTTCAGACCCTTGCCTTAATCATTTGTTTCTGCTGATTTTTAACTGGTAAAAGTCAGGACTAGTCAGTCTAGGCTGATAAGGGCTATTTATGTGGCAGGTAGGTGGTTTGAAACTAAAATGAACAGCACTGAAATTAAGGCAATTTTGTGAGTGGACATTTATACTGGGAAGGCTGAAGTCAGAATCTGAAGCTGAAAGTCCGTGACTGTTTTAAGTGTCTTATAAAAACCCACTTTGTGGAGGAAGAGTCTGGCCAGTGCAATATAATTACTTGGATTACAGTTTCAATGCCAATGTAGCAGGAGCCCACAGGGTGCTGAGTCTAATAGTATGCCTTATATGTGCAAAATTAATCACCTATTTTGTGCTTTTTTTCATTAAAGTCCTAGCTCAGGTGTGACCAGCAACGAGCGGTGTCGTCTTATGTGTCAGGATCGGGTCAGGATCTGGCAGTCAGTCCTTGGTACTGGAAGAATTTCAGCCTTTTATCTCGTATAGTTTGTTTGCCCTCATTGCTCCTTTGGCAAGGGCAAAGTCTCCTTTTATCAGCCGTCATTGCTGCAGCCAGGGTGAACATACTCAGCCAACCCTAGATGGGCATCCTTTTAGGGAGATGCAAATGTTTGCGAATACTGCTCCTCCTAACACATACTACACAGTACTCAGAATCTAATGCCATTCTATACACGGTGTAAGGACTGTACTTGATGGATCAAGTTAAGTAGTGCAAAGGAAACCAGATTAATTTGGGAACTCTTTGCATGGGAAAATTGGGAAGCTTGGTCTGATCTGGTACCAGCATTTCACCCTATCTGCCTGTCCTTACCTTTGTGCACTGTAACTATTCAGCGTGGCCTCTATTTTACTCAATTTTCTTCAAAATTGAGTTATGTTAGAGCTGATTACAGCCACTCTAATTCTGAATAAGCCCAACTACAGAGGGTTGAAATACAGTTTCATTAGTCTTCAATGAATTCACTTTTTCTGTAGTCTAGAGTAACTTTCCACAGTATGCATCAGTACTTACTTACCCTCATTAAATACCAGTGAGATTTTTGAGCCCCTGTGAGTTTACTTCTGTTGAGTCTGTCTGTTTGGAAGGGAGATGTATGGTGGTAGGAGCTTCTGTTTTTGGAAGCGAAGCCTTATCATGTAGGTTTATTCTCAGTCTTCCTTTCCCCAGATTGCTGATTCCATTTGACTAGCGTTTTAAGTTCAGGGTCAAGGGATTTGGTTTTGGCCAGCTGCCATTTTTGTTATGCAATGTAGGTAGCAAAATAAATGCTTGAATGAAAGAACTTGCTGAATATCAAACCAAGGCTGTTCTTAGGGTGTGTGGTTGCTACGTCTCTTCATCCTTTTCTCATTTCTTGTGTATTCCCAACACTGTGTTCTGCCAAAATGAAAATAATCTCTTCCCAAAATATCTCTGGTTTTTGTTAAGCATCTCTGAGAATGTCCCTTCTCTACTGCTTTTTAAAAGGACTGTTTTGTTGCAGCTGGGATGTGATAGGATTTGACATCATTTTGGTGCCGTCACGCAGCACATACAGGACAACCAGGTGATCAGGCCCAGTCAGCATGGGTTTATGAAAGGCAGGTCCTGCTTGACTAAACTGATCTCCTTCTATGACAAGGTGACCCGCTTAGTGGATGAGAGAAAGGCTGTGGATGTTGCTTATCTAGACTTTAGTAAAGCCTTTGACACCGTTTCCCACAGCATTCTCCAGGAGAAACTGACTGCTTGTGGCTTGGACGGGTGTACACTTTGCTAAGTGAAAAACTGGCTGGATAGCCGGGCCCAAAGAGTTGTGGTGAATGGAGTTAAATCTGGTCAGCAGCTGGTCACAAGTGGTGTTCTTAGGGCTCAGTATTTGGGCCAGTTCTGTTTACTGTCTTTATCAATGATCTGGACACCAAGTTGGGTGGGAGTGTTGATCTGCTTGACGGTAGGAAGGCTCTGCAGAGGGATCTGGACAGGCTGAATCGATGGGCCAAGGCCAATTGTATGAAGTTCAACAAGGCTCAGTGGCAGGTCCTGCACTGGGTCACAATAACCCCTTGCAATGCAACAGGCTTGGGGAAGAGTGACTGGAAAGCTGCCTGGCAGAAAAGGACTTGGGGGTGTTCATCAATAGCTGGCTGAACATGAGTCATCGGTGTGCCGAGGTGGCCAAGAAGGCTAACAGCATCCTGGCTTGTATCAGCAATGGTGTGACCAGCAGGACTAGGGAAGTGATTGTCCCCCTGTACTCAGCGCTGGTGAGGTGGCACCTCAAATGCTGTGTTCGGTTTTGGGCCCCCCACTACAAGACAGACATTGAGGTGCTGGAGTGTGTGCAAAGAAGGGCAGCGAAGGTGGTGAAGGGTCTGGAGCACAAATCTTGTGAGAGCGGCTGAGGGAACTGGGATTGTTCAGCCTGGAGAGGAGGCTGATGGGAGACCTTATTGCTCTCTACAACTACCTGAAAGGAGGTTGTAGTGAGGTGGAAGGTGGTCTCTTCTCCCAGGTAACAAGTGACAAGACAAGAGAAAACAGCCTCAAGTTGTGCCAGGGGAGGTTTAGATTGGCGATTAGGAAAAATTTCTTCACTGAAAGGGTTGTCAGGCATTGGAACAGTGGTGGATTTGGCAGCATTAGGTTAAGGGTTGGACTCAATCTTCAAGGTCTCTTCCAACCTAAACGATTCTGTGATTTACCATCTAAGTTGTAAAGGGAAAGCTACTAAGTGTTGGCAACTTTGTGTGTATATGGCACACACTGTGTTTAACAGCCACTGCAAGTTCAAGTCCTTACACTCCTTTCTATATCTCCCAGGCCACCACTTAACATCTGGCTTTGTTCCTGGTAGTAGCTAAGATTGCTTTTTGAACTGAATTCCTGAAATTTATGTCTCCAGAATATATTACCACAAATGTGACAGCAACTCATGGAATAAATTTTCTTGCCCGTGTGTGATGTTACTACCATATTTTGTTGTGCAGCTAATTTGTTTTAGCTAACTTTTTCCAACTTTTTCTTCCATTTGGAAATAGGAGCTTTGATAGTAGACAGAGAGAGAAACTGAAGTCTGGCTGCACAGATGTTTAAGATGGGCTGATGGAGGCTTTTTGATTGTATGGGTAGTATATTCTGTTGCACTATTCACTGAGTAATGGATTTGATGCTCTTAATTTGCCCTCACCTCTTGATATTGGGCGAGCCCCAGCACTAGACCTATAAAGAAGCAAGTGCTAAACAAACTTAGGGAACTGGGATGGACAGGAATTAGACATGGTCTGCAGGCAGTTGAAACAGGTTTGTGGTGGGCTTAAAAGCAATGAAAAGCTATTAACGGAGTACTAAAATGAAAGCAAGGAGTAAAAGCTAAGATATTGTGTCCCTTGCATGTTTCAGTAGTCTGTATGCAATGGTCTGATGAAGTGAGGTTTAGAATGGACACAAAGAAAAGGAATTGGAATTAAAAAGGAAGCTTTCCTTTGCTTGGTACAGTGTGAGAGAAAGTCTAGGGTGTTAATTATGACCATGGACAGTAATGAAGATGATGTGAGTGTCATCTGGTTCTCCAGATGCTCCGCCTGTGCTTATTCCTGTCACTTCCTGCTCTGAAATCACACCTTTAAGGTCTCCTTGAAGACATTTATGACATTATAAGCACATGGACCACATGGACATGCCTCGTTTAACCAAGAACAATCTGGACCTCCACTTACTTTTATCTCCTGTAGTGCACTCCGTCGTAATGATAGATTGGTGGTAGTTTTCAGACCTGCAAGGACTGGAAAGACAAATTTCTCACACAACGGGAGCACCTCTTCTGCTTCTTAGAAGCTTCCTCTGCTTCCTCTTTCTTAGAAGCAGAAGAAAGAGGAAAGGATGTGGCAGTTACAAGTTGGGGAAGGATGTAGTTGGGAGGATGTGTTGCTGTTACTGAGACAGGTGGTTTGGAGGAAGATATAGGAGATATTGCAGGAGGCATGGAGCACCACTGGCATCCTAAAATGGACTGGGA